GTGCCACGTACATATAGTGAGGGTAAACACAGATGGCTTGAACTGGAGAGGAGTGTGGGGGAGAAATTTGCAGGGTAGGGAGCCAGGTCACAAGCTCCTGACCATTGCATCAGAATACTACTTGTCCCTGATTTAACAGAACAGGTTTAAAAGAAAAACTGGTCTAAATTGTTTGAGTATTTACTCATCTACATGCTGCTGTGGGGTGCCTGAATGCAACATTGAAACCTTACAGCATCCAATCAAATGTAAATGTTTAACACTATATAAAGAGTTGAAAAAAATGAAAACAATTTAAAGATGCATGGAAGAGAATTGGTATTAAGAATCTTACATTTGCCCAAGTCTTGGCAGCTGTGTTATCTAATTTGGATTTTTTTTTTTAATACCTAATATTACTTGTGAAACTATGAAGCATGCCAACTGTTTTGAACATCATTTTATATTAATATACCTAAGCCAAGATTTCAACAATAGGAATCTAAGGTAAGGCTTTGTCTATATTTATAATACACCTAAACAAGGCTCTATTTTCAAAAGCAGTGAACACATGAAAACTCTCAATGGCCTCATTTAAATACATGTACATTATGTTCGCACAGTAAATCTATGCTAAAATGTGACTCCAGGTGAATTTAATTGTTAAACCATTAAGTATGCGTAAATTCCCTTCACCTGGATCTTACTGACCAGGCACTCGATAGCAGGTGGGTCCCTACTATGAGTTAAATATTTTTAATGAATTTCTGCAAACCTTAAATGGATGGCACTCCTTACAATGAAAGTCTCTTTTCACCATTCATGCACTGCAATCTTTTCCCAAACTTATACAAGCTGTGAAATCAGTAAAATATAATGCTAACTAAAGGAACAAAAATGTAGAGTTTGAGAAATTTGTTCCTTTAACCACTCTGAAAATACAGTACTAAAGAAAGCAAATGTTTGGGACTAATGGTCTCCAGGCTAAATAGAAATCAGAAGTACTGTAATGATATTGATGTTTGGTTTCTGGGGAAAGAGGTGGTTTCTCATTGCTCTTGAGTACCCCCCAGTAGCAAACCCATGAAGCAGCAGTTTTGCAGAACTAAACATGCTCTGTACAGCCAAGTAAAAGATGCGTACAGACATGCCAAGCAACGAGGAATGAAATGCTGTAAAATAGCAACAATTCAGTTCAAGGTCACTTAGAATAAAGGGAAGAGAGATCTACTCATGCCTTTGGTAGCATGGACCTAATACCACTCCCCCATCAATCCTGTTATAAATGACTGAGCCAAAGATGTCTTGTTTGTGTAGCTATTCACAAGTGAGCATTCCACTCCCCAACAGAACATAACAAAGACAGAATCTACTGTTTATTCAGCTATTTTCCACCTAAAAGTCAAGCCTTTTCTCTTGCTGTTCTTTGTTTTACATGCATTAAAAGCTTGACATATTTTTTAATATACGTTTTTCTGAACATTCAAATTTCTGCAAATGTTTCATTGCCCACAGGCCTATTCAACTAACAAAAACAACAAATAAAAGAGGTACAAACTTTGGATTAAATTAGGAATTCATGTTCTTGTACACTGGAACGTGAATGCACAATAATCAAGGAAAATTCAAATCTCACTTTTTGGACTGGCTAGTAATAACTACATTTTAATAATAGTTTAAGTTAAAAAACTGTTTTTCTCGAGCACAAATCAATAATACAGTATTTTGACTGCTTCTTTCTAGATCTATTTATTTCTCTATTTAGCTCCAACCTTCATTGCTCCACAGTCTTTTCAAAGATCCTGATTTTTTTTTACTTGGCAAAGCAATACCCTCTGAAATGATCCCAAAAATATTTTACGGCAGCTGTTTATTTAGTTCTGAGAACAGGATGGTTACAAGCAACCTTTGTTATTTTTTAGAACCATTCTTCCCCCAATCCATTCTACGACACTAACTATCCCTGATGAAAAAGACTGCGCTGAACACAGTGGGCGAAATTAATGGTAAAACTTCCATTGACTGCAAAAGAAATAGCTTATTTAATGTTTATTAAGATAACACTTGGTACCATCCTTCGACCAATAGTATACTTTCAGAGAAGTATGGCTATTGACTAGCCATACTCTCAAATAGTACAAACAGAAATACATTCCCGCATATTTGTTTCTTTCAAACTCTGGAGACATTGGAGATGGAAGATATCCTAGCATGCTATCTTAACAGTCATACTTGTCCTTCCTATGCTATGGATAACTGCTGTAAGTATTTTCTGCTTAAGCTTTAGCAGCATTTTTCCCTAGTTATCATGAAAGGGACCTGTTGCTTTGACAAGATAAATCAACATCTATGCACTGAAAATGTAACACAAAGTCCCCATTATTACTTGGCACATCCACAAGTTGGAAAAACCTGCTGCTAGCATGAAAGGACATGAAAAGTATATTGGATAGCTTCAAATACTTTTATTATGCCAGCCATTTAGTGTCTCAGAGAATGTAATTACACATCCATTTATAGCATTGTTTATCTGCATTTTACTCACTTGACCAGACGCTTTCAATTCACAGCAATTTAAGCATGAGGGTCCCACTGACTCCATATTTGGAATAAATTGCTAAGCACATGTTTATGCAGACAAAATTAGACAGTCTCGGGAATATATAATTTCTTAAATTGTTTGTCACAATCTAGAAAACTGTTAAGCTAAGGAAAAATATTAAATTTTAAAGTGATAAAGCAATAAAACTGCCTACATGTTTATAAGAGCAATGGTGGGGGGGTGGGGAACAGGGGAAAGAGGGGAGGGTCCACAGACAGCAGCTGGGAGCCCAGCATGAAGCACATGCAACTTTACTTTCACTTTCCCCAGACAGAGACTTAATTAGAAACCACTGTTACCTGTCATATTGAATGAAATAGTTTGAATGTTTGTAAAGGTTGCCCATTAGCCAGTTTCAGGAAGAAGATAAGATTTATCTCCTTATCTAAGTCATTGTTTTTGGACTACGTGCAAAAGGTCCTGACTTCGCTTAAAGTCTTAATTTAAATTTTATCTTTAGAAGTCTTTTACAAAGAGAGCAAATATCCTGAGTTCTGAGAGATCAAACCCTAAGGCCTTTTGACCAGATTGGTAAGAAAAGGGCATTTGCAGTGATATGGAAGTTTCCCAAAGGTAATTTCAAAAGAATCTGTTGAGTAAGATCCGAGCCCAAATTTGGGGGTAATGACAGGTTGAGTAGGAGGAGCCCATTGACGGCAGCTCGCTCAATAAAAACTGTAACTTACTGTCCCAATTTGGAGGTGACTTCACTTGCAGAACAACGAAGGAAGAATCGCAAGTGTAGGCCGGATCAGATTGATCACCTGAACCACCCTCTCCGTGAACACGAATCTCTTAGTTCACGCTGAAGCTGCAGAGCACCCGAAAGGGACTGAAGGAAGGGGACTTAGTCCTATCACTGCTGAGCCCAGCTCATTGAATCGTATTGCTGAGGCCAGCCTATTGAATTGTATTGCTGAGGCGAGCCCATTGAACCGTACTACTGAGGCCAACCCATTAAATTGTACTACTGAGGAATGAAACCATATTTTGGTATTTGGCTTCTCAGAATTCTAGGATTGTAAGTATATTATGAAAAATAATAGTACTGATTCAAATTTAACTTTTAGTTGTAATTGTAGTTGTTTTTGTAACACTAATTCTTATAGCATTGTTTGGGAAGGAAGTGCATTCGGAGCATTGTTTCTGATATATGTAATTATTGTGTTCTTAATGTTTGTGGTATTTCTTAAAGCTAAGCAGTGTTATATACGTAGCAAAGAGTTTTAAAATAAAATTGTGTTGTATAAATTAAGTGTGTAATCATTGCGAAATCGTGCAATCAGCTAACTACTCCCCCAGCCAGTGCATCAAAACGAATCAGTAAATTGTGTGGGATTTTCTCTATTCCATAACCCACTAGAGACATTACCCTTTTCCCTCAATTATAATACAATACATTTCCATTAGCTGAATTTGGGGGAAAGGTGCATGTTCCATACAAGAAAATATAGTACAAAAAACACAGGAGGCAGTGACGCTATCCTTCTGCACTGCTATTAGACTCAACCCTAACTACAGTCTCTTCCCCAGTAGTAATACTGTATTTTAGACCAATGCCTAATGAACGATTAACTTCATTAATGGAAGTTTCAACAAGGGTATTGCTTATAGTCAAAGTTGGGTTTTTTTTTGTGATTTGAACATTGTCTGCTAGGATCAAGATGGAGATGACAAAAAAAATCCCAATAGCATACTTAATATCAATACCAACCTCAGCCAGATTCAACCACGTCTTTAAAATCAAAGTGGTCTTCCCTACAAATCCATTAAAGCGTCAGTCTCTCCGTGGAAAAAATATTTTTGGAATTTTTGTCATTTGACACGTATTTCAATTTATTTAGCCCAGTCTTCTTCATAGTATATTATCACTGAAAGTAACACACAACGACAGAAATAAAGAATGTACAAAAATAAGTTAACTCTGGAAGCCAAATGATACCCAAGTCTTAGAATGGCTTCCAGATTTCAACAGTATCTCAGGTGTGGGTAATACATAAGGGCACAGGCAAAAAAAAAAAAAAAAAAGATACTGCACGACAAAGGGCTGTGGAGCTTTATCACCGGTCAGTTGTTCTCGCTCTTGCCTTGCAACCGCTTAACCAAACTTTCAAAGAAAGAGAAGGAAAG